TGTGGCTGACGAAAAGCAGCTTGTCAGCGCGGTGGAAACAAATGTGAAAGACGCTAAGCGCCGGATCAGCCTTCATAAGGGGCCTTCCAAAAAGAAGAAGGCTGCTGATCTCGAGTGATAATTAATGTAGTTTTTGTTCCAGTGCTCTGGCCACTGGAATTTGGCTGTTCAATTGATCTTGTCATAGGAAGTTAGACATGTGATTAACTGAATAACGGATCCCATGCTAGGGGCGGTCAACTCAAACCTTGATAGTCACAAATCAAGTGGTGCTGTTGGACAGCCTTCTGGGAAGCCAAAGCCTTATAGGTGTCATGCACTGCGATTTCCTGGCAGTCTGAGTGCTGGAACTTGTGCCCTGCCCCTGGTCACTTAAACTGTTATTATAACGTTTGATCTTGGGACATCCCATCCAAGTTGACCCCTTCAATCTTGATGCAGCCGGAAATCTTTGACATTTGTATAGTCCTATCACCAGTGGTGTTCCAAAGCACTCAGGATGCTAGTTCTGGGGTTTGGCTTGCCTGCGCAAGCATTTTGATGGCAGTGACAACATTGCCACCATCGTCCACTATGCACAAGTCGCTATATGTAGGAATGATACATTACCAATAGCAACCGTGTAGTGAAAACGGACACCTGCACCCCGCAGTCCAGTTTGGAGAGCGAGCCTTGAAATTGAAGCACGTCAGCAAGTGCACCTGGCACGAATGATTTTGTGTGTGTGTGCTGATCAAGGCGTGGGATTAATTAGTCGAGGTTTTCGAGGTTGTGTTGGATGACTCTAATAGCAACTCAAGCATGCATACATGAACATACACAGGATAGACCCTGGAGACAACCTGAATAGTGTTGAACAGTAGCATGCATGTGTTACATGTGAAAGCACTGCCCTATGGAAGCTCGCAGGGTCCACATCTGGGATCATGGATGTGGTGGAGGAATTTCTGGAGCTTGGCCGGAATGTGCACTTGGCTGCATTTGGGGGTGTGCGTTGCACCATGTACACCACACACAAAAAACCCGGACACACACACACAACCAGACACGGACGCACACACATACACATGCACACATCCATATACACACACACGTGCGCATGCATGCACAGAGAGAGAGAGAGAGAGCCAGTGCCTGCAATCACACACACACATGCACACATGCACACACACACACATGTGCAACACATGCCATCACCCTGAAGTTCCCTTGTGTGAACCATTTTGGGCACCAATTGACAAACTTTGGAGGGTGGTCGTTGATCATGGTGGCCGCAAAACCAACTCTGTTCTTGGGTAAACAAAGGGGCCCCCCTTAGCAAATGGTCATGCTATCCACTTCCAAAGCCTAGAGGTGAGTGTCGTGACCATCATGAAGATGCTGGACATTATCAAGCGGCGATTTCCCACGAAGTATGCACCGAAACTTTGACTGTGAATATAGCGCTGGTAGATACATACAATAACTTGCTTGCTCCTATCAACTGGGGTTCGAAAGCATGTGCGTAATAGCTTGGAAATTTAAGCGACACACATGCATGCATGCACATATATATATATATGTCTACATAGGGATCGTCCCAACAAATCCAGTGTGCTTGCACGGCTGATCCGGCTGAGGAGGAATATGCAATCACTCCTGAGCCACTTTGACAAGGACAAGACAAAGAACATCGGAAGAACGTTTTGGAGGTGGCTGGATAAGCAGCCGTGGCGTCGAATGCTGCCAGCTGTCCATCAGACATTTGTCTGCAACTATAATGCGCGCGCATGCGCACAAACATGAGTGGAGCATGGTTGTGTGCTCAGGGTGGATGTGCCATTGGTGCCTTGGCGGTTCAAATATGAGTGTGTGTTGTCCCCAAGATTCCTCTAAGCTGGTTGCAACTCAGGGTGACCCGGGTCTGCTTGACGAATTCTTCATGGGCAAGTGGGACATGATGCTTCCAAGCAATGTGCCCGCAGCCTATGTTTGCTGCACACGCTTCACCTTTGGTATGTTGAGCATGTGCACGGGTCAGGTTTTCCAGCCTTTATCATTACCATCCCAAACTATTTGAGATGCGCTTGCTTGGCCCTCCGGGTGTTTCTTGAATGCACACAGTACAGCTGTGGCCGTAAAAATTGCCAGCATTTGTCCAACGAGATGCTAGGCCCTTCAGGACTTCTGGGCCGCCAATCATGATGCACCGTGGCTGCTGGCTCATCCATATCGGTCTCAGCTGGACCTAAATCGAACCATACCCATATTCATCCACGGGGACGATGCGGAGTCTCACCGCCGTCGCAGCTTTATGGTGGTGTCGTGGGGGTCCCTTTTGGTATCTGGCTGCAGCCCGTTTGACTCCAATATGCTGGTGTTTGCAGGAGACAATGCACAGTGCCTCCACGAGACATACAACGTGCTCAACTGCTGGTTGTGCTGGAGTTTGACTGAATTGTTGTTGGGCACATTTCTCGACGTGGACCCTTTTGGATCCCCGATTCAGCGTGCTGGACCTGGTGGCCGCCAGGTGGCGGGTGGCTGGAAGGCGGTGCTGGCCTGCCACAAGGGGGATGAGGCCTATCTCCAGAAGGCCTACAACATGGTCACTACCTGGAACAGTGAGTCGGTGTGCTGGCGATGCGGGGCGTCAAAGGGTGCAAACACTGAGCTAGTGTATACCACGCATGGTCCCAACGCGCCTCATCGAGAAACGCCGCATGGCATGCATTCAATTCAAAAATACGGAGAGCTCGATCCAATAATTGCTGATGCGCACTGCAAGTGCATGCTCCATGTTCTACTACATTGGATTCCGAAGGCTGCTGGACACTGCGGCCTTCATCGAGCAGGTTTGCCGTGAAAACCCCTTTGTAAGATTACCAGGGTTCCACATTGACCTGCTGCAGAATGATTGGCTGCGTTGCGTCGACCTGGCTATCGTTCCGGAATGCGCCGGGTCAGTGCCCTGTTGCCATCGTACATGTGTGTAGCACGCAGCACTCAGCGCATGCCTCCACTCAATTGATGTTGTATTGTCTTAGGCTTTAATTGAGTTGGCCTCGACTGATGCTGTGTGGTCAGGAGTGTTGCTTGCAACTCATGAGCGAGTTTATTGTTGCACTATAATCAGTGCAGGATCTGATATGGATGCGCGGTTGCGCATTGCATACGTTCAGTTCAGAGGATACTGCAAGACCAACAAAGTTAGACGCTTGCAGAGCATACCGCATGCATGTTACCATTCATGCTGCTGGTGTTTGACTTGTCCGGTCATGAGGAAACAGAGGCCAAATTTTCAGCTTGCGCCTTTGGCTTTACTTTTGCTCCACAATACTGGACACGTAGTGTTCTTGGCCTAGGAAACACATCGTGGGTGATAAGACCAAGCGTGGTTTGCGTCGCTATCCCTCGTTGGCCCAGAAGCACTTGAATGCATCGGACCAGTGCTCAGCTCGAGGCATGGCAGTGGAACACACATGCACACACGCGCTGAGCTTGATCAGGAATCTGTGGTGTTGGCCAAGTTCCTCATGGACGTTTGCTTGAAAGTAGCTGCTAAAGACCCGAGTGACCACCATGCTGCGTTTCTCGGATATCGAACTGTTTTTTAGTGCATGGTGGTTCAACTATCGAACATCATTCCAGGCTCCGAGCTTCTCTTTTCGTCAACCTAGTGGAGATGCGACGGGCGCTGAAGTCTGCGAAGAATGGCATCCTCCCCCCCAGCGAAGTGGAGGCCTTGCAGCGTGCCAACTACTTGTTTCACTGCGCCTTCAACGGTTCCATGCCTGATTTGTATGCGTGTGTACATTGTGTTCTGCAAGCATCGGTAGTTGTGTTCAGCCATCGGTAGCGAGGTTTATCCAGTGATGCGATTCAGGAAGAACGACTTGTATACAAAGTGCGGCCAAAATACCATAAGCCCCACAGTGTGCATCATTGGGCGCAGTCCTGCGTTTTTTCCAGGCATTCGTGGTTCCACTGAGGACTGATCATATGTGCTATGATCAGGCACCGCGCATGTCGCCTTTGGCGACTGCCACATATATGGACGAGGATTATGTCCCTTGGTCTGATGTACAGCTCTGATTTGTGCGCTGCATGCAGCATACCTTGTTCCCTGCAGCAGTGTCGGTTCTTAGCTCAGGTTGGCAAGATCAAGCGGTTATCAATGCTGAGTCACCCAATAAAGTTGGGCCGTCAGGTTATGCTTAGGTGGGCTGCATTTTGCAGCGTCAGGTGGCTGAGCCAACTTGAGAATGCTTTGCGCTGATCCTCCAGCATCACCAGTATGTAGACATGTATGCAAGAATTATATATAAGTTAAATGATTCACGTACCATGTCTGGATGTTGGATGATGGAAGTGATGAATTAAACCGCTTGAATTGGGGTGCTTGCTAAACAGGCCAGGTGCGCGGTCCAAAAAGGCCGCCCGGCAGCTGCAGCAGCCGCAGCAGCAGCTTTTTGGGGAGACAGGGGTAGTTCTGGGTGGATGCAAAGGTTGATAGCTGGATGTGGTACCCTATTATATGCAAACCACATGCCAAATCCAGCCAACAACGTTTCTTCCATCCAGAATAGGGCATGGAAGATACGTGTATATACATTGATTTGACCCTAGCTTGATTTGCTAAGTGCCCTTGTTTGACCCTAACCCAAAAGTGCCCATCAAATAGAGGGCACTTACGAAAGGTACGAATAGACAGCCCTCGGAGGGTGCTGGCAACTGTTGATTGGGGGAAATCCAGGGACCCCTGTAAAACTGTAGACACTGAGACATGCGATGGGCCCTCGGAAACTCCATCGCCATGCCCTCGCTTTGTTGGGGAGAGGCGTGATCACTTGCAACCAGAGCGAAATGACCGATCGCAGTGACCTGATTCTTCCCCTGCTTGATCTTCTTTGCATCGGCCCCAAAAGGTGATCGCCTTGTATTTCCAGGTCCCATCCGGGGCAAGTGAGGAGAATGTTGGAGAATCTGCAGATTTGGTTTTCTCGGCCTCGGGGCCTCAGGCTCCAATGCGGTGAAGGAGCGAATCGCTTTGGGCCACTATGCTGGGAGCCTCACTTCGGGATTTCAGATCGGGCCATTTCGAGGCACAGAGAATCACCAAAGCCAGCCGTTTCGCGCGCTCACTTCATTTTGCCTGCTTGAAATTCCAGTGGCGCGAAGCGCGCTTCCCTTGGAGAAAGGTTTGGGATATCAGAAGCTTACTGGTACCTGGAGTCTCTATGACCCTTTAAACATGGGGTCATGACCTCTTTATCCGGTAAAATCAGCCAATCTTCAGGGAATGGACCCAAATTTGCCGGGACTGACCCCAATTTTTAGGGACTGCCCCATTTTTGAGGCACTCTCCGCTTGTTTTGGTCAGGGTCACGGAGGCTCCAGGCAGCCGCTCCTGCGAGGTGAGCACCAGCAACCTCACCGCTGCCCAGCTTATGGAGGTCGGTGAGCCAAGAATGGTCCCTGTGGCCCAGGTCGTCTTTGGTGCATTTTTGCCAAGGGAGGTTAGGACTTTCGCCTGCCAACCTGTTTGCCAACCTGTTTGGGGTGAAAACCGCCAACCTGTTTGGGGTGAAAACCGCGAATTAAGCCACGAAGAGTGAGTCACTTTTAGCAGGGCTTCGCAGAAAAGCAGCCGAGTCAGGTCATGCTGACCCCATACTAATAGAGGCCCCCGACCGTCACGTTCCATGGTAATTGGTGGGAGGGTACGCGCATGTTTCCTCTGAAATGGGTCAAATGTTGGTACACAGTTCCCACTGTTGACCCCATACTAGTCAACCCCAGTTTATTAATAGGGGGTGTCCATTTCTGGGTGAAAATGTGGGGAATCAGACCACTTTTGGAGGGGCCAAAAACCATCCCCCTGTTAAGAAGATGGGGTTGATGCATATGGGGTCAACATTGGGTGGGAGGGTAAATATTAGCCACATGCATTGTTGGGTATCCTCCTATCTGTACCGTGACTGTTTGAGCACCAACCGGCGGTTAGTAAGAAATCCCAAGGAACGGCTGGGATTGTTTCCAAGGAATCCTCTTTCTATCCCTTGCTTCATTATCCAAATCAAGCAACTGCTATTGCAGAAAATTAGCACCGCGCTTGGCAACCGTTTGCAATTCCTGATGGGTTCAGCTTAGATGCGAATTTGCCAAACAAATCTGGGACCCTTGGCAAGCCCGGGTTCTCTTGCAGAGCGGCAAGTACGCAGTTGCCCAGTCGCGCCCTTTTTTCTCATTTCTTTTGGGGGAAGGGTTGCCCTTTAAAGTCAACCAACCAGAAAAGGAGCCTTTTTTCCCATGGCTTTGGGCATCTGAGAATTTGGCAATTGGGTCATGGGCGAGCGCGTCTCACAAGGGGTGGCCTCGAAGGTTTTTTGGGGGGCCCCTTGTAGCTTTCCGCCGAACTTTGCACCCCACTGCTGCAAGGGGCACTCGTACTACAATTCTGCAAGCTGGACCTGTGCACAAAGCGACTCACTTTTTTTCGCGTGCCTGTTCCTTCCAACCCCGATTAAGAAGCGGAGAATAGGTAGCACCTATACAAACATGAAAGGTAGAGCCCCTTAAAGTGGGCGCTGCTCTCCAAAACAACTTGCTTTCTTCCGTCGCGCAGGTGACGGATGAGCAGCACAGCGGCTTCTTTGCGAAGCATCCGCGGGACAGCGCTTCTCTTTTGGCTTCGGAAGCCCTATGGCGTGGTGTCCTTTGCGCCTCCTTTCGAACACCAAAAGGGGTACCTAAAATGGACACACCCAGGCTGAGCTGTCAGTTGCGGGCTGAGATGCATGTAATTAATTTAGTGATCCCTTAGATTTGCAACCTGGAGATTCATTCTTTTGGTGTTCCGGTAGTTTTGGGTGCGTTGGGCGGTCTAAGTGATTTCTAGGGGTTTAGGGCCCCGAAAAACCCAAACAACTTATTTGTTTGATTTGCGGGCCTTTGCTGGGTTTTGGCGGGCCGGGTAATTCTGGGCGGTGAAAACGTAAAAAAGCGGCCAAATCAGAAATCTCCCGTGCCGAAGCAACAAAATATAGGAGTTGTCGTAGTTTTTGGCGGCTTCACGAAAAAGACAAGATTTGGGAAAAGCAAGTCAAAGTCGAAAACTACCAGGAAACTCATGAATTCCCAGCCGTGGGGCGCAACATGTTGAAGCAAGCCTGAGACAAGCGACCACCTCTTCGCGTTTCTTGGGTGGCTGGCACACACCAAGGGCACCCCTTTTGCTAGCCATGCAGCGGTGGTATTGAGGGTGATAGTGATGTCAGCTTTGCGGCTTTGCGCTGGAGCTCCATGCAGATTGTCTGACGGAAGGATGATCTGAACCGCTTCTTGGACACCTTCTTCCCACATCCTATCCGATTTCGGCATATCTGGCATCGACCTGAGCATGGCTTTGCGCAGACCGTTGATCTAATGGACAATATTGGAACACGATGCCGGTAAAGAAGGACACTTTTTTTTAAACACGGAGGGCTGCTTCTGAGTCAACCACAGCTTCCTGGAGTGAACAAATCATCCCTGATTGTTGATCAGGAGTGCAACTGAGGCAGCACAAGGAAGCATCGAAGACACTGTGCCCCCTGCTGAGGGAACCCCATGGTTTATGTTCCCAGCACCTACGCGTTTGCACACTTTGCCCTGCCAAAGTAGATCAATGGGCTTGGTACCAGCCAGACGTGAAGAGTGCTTGCAGTTCATGCGGTTGTTTTGATTTGCTGGGGATTTGGGCGGGCTTTGAATGCAGACTAGTGGTGTGGCACCACTCTGGGACGCGGATTGTGGGGCAGGCCTAGCGGATCAGCCGACGCAAAAACATCCCGGCGGACCGAAATCCGCTCTCGCGTTTTGCCGCTTTTCCTGAAAAAACTTGCGTTTCACCTCAGCGAAATGCACATCGAGTCCCCAAAAAACCTCCCAGAAAGAGGGCTCAGCTTTAGAGGCGTTTTGCCTTTCGCCCATTCCCTGCCTTCTCCTTTTTCACATCTTTGCGATCGCAACGGCAGTTGGCTGCTCCACATCTCGCGCACGACATAGCGGGCTCAACGAAGGCAGCAAATTCGGGACATATGCTTTGCAGCTTGACCAGGTAGAGTCTATCGCACTAGGAAAAAGAGGCGCGGGCGTGCTTATCAATGTCAGGCGTGCGCGCAGTGTTATAGCGAAGCAGTTTTAGTGGGTGTGCTTACCATGGTCAGGTGCACGCAGCGTTATAACGCAGCAGTCGGGCCTGAGTGCTTACCATGGTCTGGCGTGCACGTAGTGTTCTAACGAAGCAGTCGGGCGGGTGTGCTTACCATGGTCCGGCGTGCGCGGAGTGTTGAAACGAAGCACTTGCCATGGTCCGGCGTGCGCGGAGTGTTGAAACGAAGCACTTGCCATGGTCAGGCGTGCGCGGAGTGTTGAAACGAAGCACTTGCCATGGTCAGGCGTGCTAGAACGAAGCAGTCGAGCGGTGCTTAACATGGTCAGGCGTGCGCGCGGTGCCACGGCGAAGAAGTGGTGCGGGCATGCTATGCAGGGTTGCAGGAACAAGTGCGCGCTATTGAGCTGCCTGGCCCGCTAGCAAAAACACGATGTTGCGAAGCTCGGAAGAAGACTTGAGAACTGGAGCCATCCCGAAAAAGACACGAAACAACTTGACTACAGAGACTTTAACTTTTTGGAAAACCAAGGGGTTTTCCACCAAACGCCCCAAGAGTTAAACTTTTAGCAGGGGAGCAGAAAGCCACCGAGTAAAAGCAACAAGCCGAGAGGAAGCAATATGTTTTTTCGAGTTCCTGTTTGCCAACAGGTACGTGTGGCAAGCCGTGCCGCCATCAGCAGACTTCGTTGCCGCCGGCATGGTCTGCACCACCGAGGACGAGGCATGCGAGAAGTGGGCTTCGAGAAATTCTGACGAGCGGAAGTTGGCAAGTGGGCCGGAATTTGCCGGCCGCATGTGAGCCGCAATCAAAACCCGGATGAAGGTTAGTAGGGGACAATCCCAACCATAGATAGCTGCGTCCGCCGCCAAAACTCTTTGCATGGTTCTGGGTAGGCTGTTTAAAAACACCGGGTTTTGATTGCGACTGGCGACACTTGTGAGTTTTCGCATGCCACATGCAATGCTCGCAGGACGCGCTTTGTTTCCACAGCAGTGAATCTTTTAAGGTTTTAAGGGCAAAGGAGATGGTGAGTGCCGTGTTTGAACTGTGGGTGGGGGAGTCCGCACAGCCCGGGTCAACGTCGTCACTTGGCTCGTTTCAGGAACGTCGGTCTGCTCTCCAGGTCTCAGTGAACCCTATCCAGCGATGGGGATACTGGACTTGCTGCGTTTTTGGTAGATGACCTGAACACGAAACCCGCCAAGAACCCCGCGCAACTGGAGCATAGGAACTGGCCCCGCAACTTCCCATGGCCCCAGTCGAAAGCCGAGATGCAGCTCTGCAGATTTCTCGGGAGCAATCAGAATTTGAGATGTTTGGCTTAGATCTACACTGCAAAACCACCCTGGCCCCAAAAGGGTTCACCTTTTGCTTCCAGGACCCTTGGCCAAGGGAGAGAGCAGTCAATGTTGTACCGCCTTCCGGCGCGGTTTTGCGCTCTCTCCAGGCACCCTCCCTAGAGGAGCTCCGGTGCTTGCCGAGGCAAATTCGTCCGAAAGCTTTCGAAGGGCGATTCGAGCCCGATCTTCCGCCCAATCAAAATCAACCAGGTTCCTGAGGGATCAAAAAAGACGCCTTTTACATGGCATCCGGGCTTTGAACGGCGACAAAAAAAGTAGTTTCCAAGAATTAGCTGCACCTGAACTTGCGGTCGCAAGTTTTTGCTGGGGTCCATGAACTTCTTAATGCCCTCAAAACCGGAAAGAGGTTCCAATTTGCCAATTCTGCGGCTTGCCCGGCGATTTCCCAGCCACACCGTACTTCATTGGATTTGATTTGTGACAGCCAAAGCATTGCGCTTTGATTCCCTATCTTTGCCACAGCTCTCGCTTGGAGAATTCATGTGTTTGCTTGGCGGGAATGCGCTAGGTGAGGAGTTTGCTTTGGATTCAATGGGAGCTAGGAGGCTTGCGAGCGGAGTCAATCAATTGAATCCCTTCCCCCTTGTGAATGTATTGGGGGATATTGGGGGAGTATCCGTTCTGGATGGGAAGCACTACACTCACTGTGAGGCAAGCGATACGAAGATTGCAGGCAATGAGCGTTTCCCGGATGTTTTTCTTGCAGCCCGATGGAAAGCTGTGCCTGTCTCTTGCTTGACATGGTCTCAAAGGGGTCCATGTCCGTTTGGAGGCGTTGGGGGAAACAAAAGAGCCTGAAGGTGTGGATATTGACTGGAATTTTCCATGTGGGCCACCATAGCTTCCAGCCATACGGCCGCCCTGATATCTTACTGTACATGTTTGACCGCTTTTGTCCAGGTGTTTGACTGTTCTTCTGGAGGGTGGCCGCTTCTCTCGGTCCGAGCATGAGACTTACCGCAAGTCGGCTCTGATCGCTGCCGCGAGAAACGCCGAAAAATCCAACGGCTCGCAAAGCAGCTATGGAAAACCCCATGCAACACCCCCGTGAGCGCACCCAGCTCGGCGGTGCTTTTCCCGGCAGAGCAGCATCCGGGCTTGCCCATCTTTGATTGCATGCGGGGGTGCCAAGACCCCAGGGCCCGAAGAGGATGATCAGGAGGCCTGATGCAACCTTTGCCAACTATCCTAACTACCAACCAGCGTTTGCCAACCCAGGACTTTCAAACCCAACATGATTTGCAGCAGGGTGGTGTGTTATGCCCGCTTGCCTCTACGCGGGCCAACACATGAGAAACATTGACAAGCTGAGATTCAGGGCCGCTGTTAACATTGACATGGCGTCCATCGCAAGCGGGGCAAGCGGCATGGCGAAGAAACGCTGGGCCACCTTGCTTGTGACGCACGGTGGCATTGGTGTCGCTTACTGTTCCGTGTTGTGAGGGGTGCGCCTCCCGCTGTGTTCGGACTTTGTTTGAGTGAGCTAAGCTTTGAACATCCTATATATGTGCCGCACGTTTCGGGCCTAAGTGCATGAACCAATCAATCTCCGAAGTTACTGACCAAATGCCCAAATCTCCCTTGCGTTTGGGCCACGGCTTGCTTCCGCCCAAGGTCACGGCGCTTCCTGTGGAGTGTTAGAGGCTTCCAACCTGCAGCGGTTTTGGTTGGGTAAATCAGCTTGAGGTGTTCGCCTATCGCCCCCTTCTGGCCCGCATCAGGGAATGCGGGCAGGGCGGGCGTTGATCATCCTTTCACATTGACGAACCGTTCGGGACTTGCAAGACCTGTCACTGGTGCAGATGTTCACAACCTGAGCCACAATCAAAACGATGAAGGTTAGCAGAAATAGTTGCGGCCGCCTTCTTAATTCTTTACATTCTGGCTAGACCATTTTAATACCGGGTTTTTGATTGTGACTCACCTAGGGAGCCTCCAACCCCATGAGATCAGTGGCCTTGTCAAGTGCTGTTGCATGCTGCTGGATCTGGCACTCAACGGCCCTTCGGGCTGCAAGATTAGGTAGGCTCAGGAGCAAACTGCTTCTGCGATGGCAAGGCTTGCGGTGTCCTTTACCATTCTCCTGGTGGCAGCGGGCAAGGCCACCCCGGACGTCTCTACGTTTAGCAATGTCGGGGTCGGTGCAGACCATGCGGATGCCAACAGGCAAGCTGACATCGATCAGTTCCTTCTCAACGTGCAGCGCATTGCCGCGGCCAGCAACGACGCCAACGCCCCTGACATCGTCAGGGGCAGTGATGTCACAGCCGGCGCGATTCAGACGGATGCGAAAAAGCACGGCAAGAACGATGAGTCCCTTCTCAACGTGAAGCACTTGGGCGCAGCAGCCAGCAGCGCCATCAACAGCCCCGGCGTCCGTGCGGGCAGCTATGTCAAGCTCGGCGCGATTGAGATGGGTGCGAACAAGCAGGGTAAAAACGATGAGTCCGTTCTCAACGTGAAGCACATGAGCGCAGCAGCCAGCAACGACGCCCCCGACATCTCAGTCAGTGCGAATCAGACAGGTGTGAACAAGCAGGGTAAGAACGCTGAGTCCCTTCTCCACGTGAAGCACATCGGCGCAGCAGCCAGCAACGCCACCAACGACCCCGCCATCTCAGTCAGTGCGAATCAGACGGGTGCGAACAAGCAGGGTAAGAAAGAGGAGTCCCCTCTCAACGTGAAGCACATGGGCGCAGCAGCCAGCAACGCCTCCAACGCTACCGACATTTCTAAGGGCAGAAATGTCACAGTCGGTGCGAACCATACAGATGCGAACAAGCGGGGTAAGAACCTGCTCAAGGTGAAGCGCATGGGCACGGTCACCATTCTCCACGTAAGTGACACTCATAGCCTTCATTATCAGGCGGGCGACCTGCCCAGCGCCGACATTTTCATCCACTCCGGAGACGTGGCCCAGTCGGGCACTGACGGCGAATTCGGGGACTTCAACTACTGGCTGGGCACCATCAAGTGGAAGTTCAAGCACATGCGCCTTTTTTGCGCATAGGTTCCGATCACTTCCACTAAACACGTTCATGAAAAGGGAATGTCCCCTAGTGGGGATCGATTCATCACATTTGGAGGGGAACACCCAGTCCGTAGTCAAAACTGCAGTAAGCCGCGTTGGCCTCAACAGATGGCTGTGGGTCAGAACCAACGATACCATTTTGGGGTAGGTGCATGGGTCAGAACCAACGATACCATTTTGGGGTAGGTGCACCACCCATTTTAGTCTATTTAGGGATTGGGATGTTCACTGGGGGTACGATTTGGATTTTGACCCATGGCCAGACGATTGCTTTTGCTTGAAGTTCGAGTCGACCGAGGTTCGTGATCTCCGGGAACCATGACTTCTGGGACACCAATCGGCGCCTGAACCAGGGCGCACTCTCCACAGGTGAGGCCTTCAACCCCAGCTACTTCCAGTACAAAATCACCAACGCCAAGGCGCAGGGAGAAAAAAAATCTGAGGAGGGGGGAGGGTTAAGAGCTGTTAAGAGTATTCAAGTCCTGAGGAATAATAAAACGACCTAAGTATGGCGATTTCGATTTTCCCACGCCAATGGCCTGAAGCCTTGCTCCTTAGTGGCGAACAGGGGTCCAGAAACGGAGCATTCCGCCAACTGAAAAAAACGCTCGGTATGATGTTTCTGGTGTTTTCTGGTGTCTTTTCCAAGGCTAGCTCAAAAAACAGGCTTTAGGGTAGACTAACATAAATCAAGTCTGATGTGTGGGTAGCCCGTGGGCTAGCTTTCCTCTTTCGCCACCTCGGTCGCCCCCAGCGGCTGGTCCAAAAAGTTCCTCATGGCTCGCCTTGGCTTCGGAGCGTTCGGAGATTTTTCGAGACGGATCATCCAAAAGCCCTGAGGCTCCCGATGGTTTTTGGGCCCTCAACATGGGCTGTTTTTGAGGGCCCTTGAAGGGTCTGGGTTCTTCATTGGAGGGCCCAGGGGCTGCAGCGCATTGTAGGGGCCATGAGCCTTAGGGCGTTTGTTTTTTTTTGGCTGGCTTGGCTGAGACAAGTCAACTTCCATTTTTTGCGAGGTGCTGAATCACGAGATGGTGCAGGTTATGGGTCTGAAGATTTGGGGCGAGGGCTGGCATCCTCAGCGCGCCGACTCCAATCCGGGGAACAACTACCAGGAGTAGCGGGCAAGAGGCCACGAGTCTAGGAAACTTCCTGGGAATTTCCGCGGTGTTCTTTGAAAGAACAAGCCACATAAAGGGCCCAAGGCAAAACTGAACAAGGTTTCCTTGAACATCATGTCCCAAAACCTTGCGCAAGATGAGAAGGGCGCCTTAAAGCACACCTTTTTTCTCTCACGAACAAGTTGGACGACCCATTGGGCTCCAAACCGGGAGGACCTGCCATATGGGCTCGACATCCTGGTGACCCACGAAGCGCCCTTCGGCATCTTCGACCAGACGGGAATGGGCAACTGGGGCTCCAGCCATGACCTGCTGCAGGCCATCTGGGAGAAACGGCCCAAGGCGCGGGAGATCAAAGTTTCGAGTTTGCATGTTCCAAGTGGCACTGCCTTAGGGTAATTCTAGGCGCAGCCATGAGTACCAAGAAGCATATTTTGCAGCAGCACCTGTGCAAGCAAACCTGCTTGAACAGACTGGTGCGCGAGACGTGTTTCAGGCGACACTCACACGAGCCCCACGTTTCAGGCGAGGGCCTGGCAGGTTTCAGCCAATTCGGGCTTGTTTTCTGCTCGTGGCTGCGTCTTCGCAATGCGCAGATCGAGCCCTAGCTGTCACACAACACAGTCTGCCTCAGCCTTCCTCAGCGGCTGCGCGTTTTGTCTCGTGTGCGCCCCCCCCCCCAACCTCCAACTGCAAGACGCTTTGTGGAAGGCAGCGTCACCCACAAGCCCAAGTCCGCAGACCCAAAAGCCGGCCCAAGCACCCGCCAGAAACAGATGATGCAGGTGATGCTCAAGATCTTAGGCGAGCCTCGAGCCGCGCACACCCAGCTTCCCTAGCCAGTAGTTCCAGTACTACGGAAGCTCCCTTTAGCATACATTCGCCTGAGTTTTTTAAGTCGAGACACAAACTACGATGTTCCTTTCGTTGGGTGAAACTTCTGCCCCGATGGCAGAATGTTCTTCGTGA